TCTGTGTCCTTTTGACATGTCCTCAATATTCTTTGAGTCCTTGCTTGCCTTTTGACTCTGCATTTTGTACTCTCTTTGCCCCAGCCCTGGATCAGCCCTCACTCCTTTCAGTGTGAAGGATTTCCAAGTCTGGCTACTAGGTGTGCTCATTGTCCCCAGGCTCTCTCAGTAGACAGATTGAGGAATCTATGTATATAGGTATATGATTATATGCATGCACACATTTACATATATATTTACTTTTGTCGACCAAAAACCATGAGATTACGTGGATGTCTCTAGATTGTTCTAACTCACTGGATTCATCTTTCTTTTCTCCATTTCTGTGTTTATACTGTCTTCTCTGACAGTGGAAATCCTAGCTCCTATTATCCTTCATATACTGACTGACTGGACTAGTACCCCGTATGTAACTTTGGCTAATGGGAGCGCCTTCAACTTATCCCATGTCCCTTTGGGTGGGAGCACTTTTTATTCCCCAGGCTCATCTTGTATATTTTCTGCCCCAACCTAGAAGAAGCCACTGCTTCAAGGAACGCTAGCTCCTTTGATTGAGGAAGAGTAATAGAAACTAATATCTGGCTGCTACACAGGGTCGCCACGCACTGAGTAAGAGGTGATTAACTTGTGCTAGTTTCCTAGTTTATTGTTAAAGAGGAATAAATGTCTTTCCTGTTTTTTTTTTTAAAACAGGGATATGATTTTAGAAGATTGTATTAAAGCCTGTCTATTCACATGGTTCCGAAAACATAGAAACAGCCGTGCTAGCTCTTGTTCCATTTTTGAGCTACAAGTTCTCCATCCCAGGAAAGTCTTGTGCAGGCAGAGGTTAACCCTTTTTTTTTTTTTTTTTTTTAAGAGGTTAACTCTTTTTGTGCCTTCGACTCTTTTGGCCCTCAGATGAAGCCTATGGGCCTTTCTCCAAAATTATTTTTTCACCGTATAAACACATAGAATCGCAAAGGAAACAGATCTTGTAAAAATGTGTTTTTCTGATTATTAAAAGAGCAATTGTTTTTGTAGAGTAATATGTATCAATACATTGCACAACCTAGCAGTGAGTGTAAGATGCCCTGTTGGCATAGTGGGTTATGCATTGGGCAGCTAACTGCAAGGTCAGCAGTTCAAAACCACCAGCTGCTCTGAAGGAAAATGATGATGCTTTCTACTTCTGTAAAGAACTGCAATCTAGAAAACACTCAGGGGCAGTTCTACCTTGTCCTATAGGGTCATTATGAGTCAGAATCGACTGGATGGCAGTGAATTTGGCTTTGAGTTAGAGCAATGTGTTTAGTAACTATACATTTGAAGCAGGGTTAAGCACAGGCAATATTTCAAGTTATGGACAGCAATTTTAATCATTTGAAAATATCTCTGCTTTCTCTTGGTGACTTTGTTACAAGTGCCACCGATACTACTGTCGTTTTTCCCTAGATTTATAATCGAAGAGAGTACAATTGAAGTTCTAATGAGCGGTAATTGGAAGTCAAGATGTAATTCGTTTCCCCGTCCAATGTATGGATTTGGGCAGGAGAAGGACAACTGTGGGTTTAAAGGAAGGATATTTTGGAGCCCTTCTTACTCTTTCCATAGTGGATGAGGGGTGTGGGGTGTGGTCCTCAATACATTAACACCCCACCTCAAGCAGTTCAAAGACCAAAACCCTAACAGTTGCCATCAGGTCAGCTCCACTCAGTGTAGAGCTCTGCTCCGGGGGCTTTTCCTTTTAACGATTTGATTGTCACTTTGTCCACATATCATACAATTCAACAGTTCAATCGCATCAAGAAGGGTACAGTAGTACAATGTTGACCACGACCAGTTTTAGAATATTTTCTTCTTCCTTGTGCTCCTTGTTATTGGAGGTCTTTAATGGCTGACCTCTGGTATGCTGATCACGCCTTGCTTCCATGGTGCATCTGTGTGGACTTGACTCTCCAGTCCTTTGGCTATTTTGGTTATACCTGAGTGCATGAGACTTTCGCACCATCCATGGTCCCCCAAAGAGGAGTTTATAACCACTGCTTATTATAATGACTGCAACATGAAGTACAAAGGAATGCTAATACAGAGGGTTCTGTATTAGCTTTATTCTGAAATTAGCAATATTCTGAATTAAAGGATGAGTGAATGACATTGGGGCCTTGTCTGACCTCCCCCCACTCCACAGCTGCAGACAGCTCAGTCCTGTGAGGCAGGAGGCCAGACATGCCTCTACCCACCAGCCCTCCTTCTCAATTCTGACACAAACTGTCCCACAGCCTCTTTCTTCTCATGCTGGGTTCGGCAATTCATTGCAGAGACCACACAGAACTCACAGATTATACTCGTGCTTGTGGGACTTAGTGAGGAAGTGAACAGGTTACAGTTCAGGTGAGAAATGCTCAGAGTACTGTCGCTCAGTGAGAGGCAGCCTCTTCTCTGCCATGCCTACAGGCAGGCCTCTCTGGCCCTCGCCTCATGGCGTGTCCTGTGTCCAGCTTGGGCAATGTTACAAAGTTCTTTGGGGGCTGCCAATAAATGCCCCCAAGGCGCTGCACTCCACCAGAAGCCTCAGCCCGAGATTCTCCTCTCTCACTCTGTGGGTCAGCAAACCTAGTTTGCCCATTTAAGGGCCTGGAGGCACTCCACTCCACGAGCCAGCCTCCTGCCTGAAAGCACTCAGCTTTCCATGACCCGTGGGCTGAGAAATCCACTGCTGTGTCTCAAGCTTGGGTTCTTGTTTCTGCTGCTACTGCTCCTGTGCCACTCCTCATTTGCCTCTGGTGTAGTGACATCTCCCTTCTTGCTTCTAAATGACCCTTTATACCCAGAATGACGGCAATCACAATTAGCCTAGTCTAACAGTCACTCACAACTGAATCCTATCAGTATTGTGCCCCACCCTCCGCCCATCCCCTTTCTTTAAAAAAAAAATTATTTTATTGGGGGCTCGTACAATTCTCATCACAATCCATCCATCCATCCATTGTGTCAAGCACATATGCACGTGTTGGCCTCATCATTCTCAAAACATTAGCCTCCCACTCTAGCCTCTAATATCAGTTGCTCGTTTTCCTCCTCCCTCCCCATTCTCCCCTCCCTCATGAGCCCTTCATAGTTCATAAATTATTAAATTTTATCATAAGGTACCCTGTCCGATGTTTCCCTCTGCCCTTTTCTATGCTGTCCATCCCCCCGGGAGGAGGCAATACTTAGATTCTTGTAATTGGTTCCCCCTTTCTACTCCACA